TCAGGATGGGGAACACATGTAAATCCATGGCTGATTCATGTCAATGTATGGCAAAAACCACTACAATATTGTAAAGGAATTAGCCTCCAACTAATAAAAATAATTGGGGGAAAAAAAACACATCAAGCCAACAGATGTGTATTCATGGCCAGCTCTGAAGGTTCTGTCTTGGCATCATCCTTCCTGAACACTGCCTTAACTCTCAGCTCAAAAACTGTCTAGTGGATAAAGGGTCTTTGACATTCAGGTTCTAGTCTTCTTCTCTAATTCTAGTTATAAACCTCCCAAAGTCTTTTATCCATTCTTTCTTTTGGACTTTTGCTCAGACCAGTGATTCTTCAACTCTAGCATGCAGCAGAGTCCCCTGAAAGGCTTGTTCTAGATTCTAGGCCCACTCCCAAGAGCTTCTGATTCTGTATGTCTGACTGGGGAACCAGAATCTGCATTCCTAACAAGCTCCCCAGGGGATGCACATGCCATTCTTCACGGAAACACTTTGAAAACCCCTGGTTTAAAATATTTCCTGGGAGCTTAAAAAGTAAAAACCAAGAGAAAACAGCATTTTTACAGAAACTATTAAAATATTATAGCATACAGTTTAGAATATGCCATACCTGTGTTTGGTTCCTAGAAGGCAAGGCTTAAATAGAAACTCTATTATTAAATAAGTATTACCCACAACATACTATGTGTTAAGTATTACTATGTTAGCCTCAAAAAACCTATCAGAGCAAGTTGAAAGCCATAAAAAGTAACAAGTGTGTTAATAAGTAACGTGGTTTAGACTTTAGGTCAAAGGAAATACCTGATATTGAAAATGGATGTTTGACACCAAATTCAGGGAGCATGTTGACATTGTTATTTACACTTAAATAACCTTACCTCTCTAGGGTCAAGGCAAATCCCTTAATCAGTACTTTCTGTTTGAATTTCATAGCACCCAATAGGCATACAGTGAAGCTAGTCCCTCATTGTAATGTAAACAGCATCAACTCAGTGTCCTCAGAGACCCAGGTGGGCCAAAACCCATTCAAGATCAAGGTTCGTTTAAAAGCCAGCACTTAGTATTCTTATGAATAGCTCCCTTTACAGAACATCCCAAATTCTGACAAAGGGTCTAAAGAAAAGGAACATACCTGCTGGTTCTGTAGAGTATTCAGTCTCGAATCAAGCTGCTTCTTTTCAATACACAAATCATTCATCTGATGAAGTTTTTTGGTGTGCTCTTTTGTCTTCATCATCAATTCCCATCGAACTTGAGCAATCTTTTCCTACCAGGGCAGGAAGGTGTACAATGGATTCAGTGAATGAAAGAGGAAACAAAAACAAATGTCCAGATTTGATCAAAACCCTCAAGGAAACGGACTGATATGCACATGAAAGTGAAAGTGTTAGTAACTCAGTGGTGTCCATGTCTTTGCAACACGATGAACCATAGCCCACCAGGCTCCTCCGTCCATGAAAATCTCCAGACAAGAATACTGGAGTGGGCTGTCATTCCCTTATCCAGGGGATCTGTCTTACCCAGGGATCAAACCTGAGTCTACGGCATTGCAGGCAGATTCTTTACTGTCTGAGCCACCAGGGAAGCCCAGAAGTTTTTCTTGACAAACTAGACTTTGCCCTTGTAGAATTTAAAGACCATGTTTATTGTACTCACTGCCTGTCACGTACAGTGACTGCTGCTGCTTAGTTGCTCAGTTGTGTCCAACTCATTGTGACCCCATGGACTATAAGCCTACCAGTCTCCTCTGTCCATGGGATTTCTCCAGGCAAGAATACCGGAGTGGGTAGCCATTCCCTTCTCCAGGGAAATTTTCCCAACTCAGGAATCGAACCCAGGTCCTCTCACAATGCAGGCAGATTCTTTACCATCTGAGCCACTAGGGAAGCCCTATGCACATGGGGAAATATAGTAAGCCAATAATAGAAGCAGGTGTATCAGGTGTGATTACAGAAAAAAAGAATAAGTAGGATGAAAGTGGGCAAAAATAAGATGGAGATACATATCACTCCACTTCTGAAGAAGGATATTAGTATGCTGAATGAGTGCTGGTGTTCATTAATTAAAAGGGAGAATGACTGTTTAACCAGAAACTTTCCTGTATCACTTGTCCCCCAGTGTTGGCCCAGAGTCCTCAAGGTGACCAGCTTCAATGGCCATACATCTGCCATTGGCTTTCCTTTGTTACCCTATTACTCCAACAAATTATTTTAGATTGCACATATTATCTCCAGCACTACCCTGACTGGAACCAGTCCCACCGACACCAGCACTACAGTAATTTGTTTCTCCACAGTACAGTGACAAATCTTAGATAAGAAAAGAAAAGATACCACTGGGAACCTCTCCTCCTTCCCTATCTGCTGTTAAGTCAGAAAACTAGAGAAGCCATGTGATTTGTGAGCTTATAAAATCTTTGTAAAAAGCCCCTCTCTTTGAATCAGGGTGTAACTGGAATACTGCCTCATCTCATGGCTCCAGGAACAGTGTAGGCATTAACATTTAAGACCCTACCAGCTAAATAGTATATACCCTGTTACAAAATCTATTACTTAGAGATGCTTTTCTAATTTCCAGAATGGAAACAACATGCAAAAGCTATATAGAATTATATAAGTAGGATCCTCGGAGCATTACCAGGTGCTACTAGTGGTAAAGAACCTACCTGCCAATGCAGGAGACATAAGAGACAGAGTTTGATTCCTGGGTTGGGAAGATCCCCTGTAGGAGGGCTTGGCAACCCACTCCAGTATTCTTGCCTGAAGAATCCCATGGACAGAGAAGCCTGGTGGGCTACAGTCCATGTGGTCACAAACAGACGGACACAACTGAAGTAACTTAACAGGCACAGAGTATAGCAGTTCATGTCTAACACTTACAGCATTTATACATTAATGCGGACCTCAGAGTGGAATATCTCATCCTTCATGCCATGCTGCCCTCATAATTACATGAATCCTGGACCCCAGACTCCAGTGCTGGTGCTTCATTCCAAGATAGACCAGTACCTCCAATTAAGTGAATGATAAGGAAGCCGAGACAGACTTAAGACCATGGGGGAGCTCAGTGGGGCTCACAGGAGCCTGTGAGATGCTCTAGCTGCACAGATGTAGAGATGCTCTGCAGGAACCCCATGACTGCTCACCAGGAGTTCTCACCTCTGCCCAGAGGGTCACTTGCCCTCTCATCCTTACCTCCCACATTTTCATTTCCTTTACGTTCGATAGCTCCTTTCGAAGCTTTTTGATCTTTAGTTCTTCAAGCGTTGTATTCACAGAAAGTGTCTGAAGGGCTTCTAGATTGATCACGCGGCCAAACTTGCTAATCATTAGTTGACTCACTGTTTCTTCCATTTCTAAAAGAAGACAACCACTGTCAGGCTGTTCAGAAGCTCCCACTGTTATTAAATGAACAATACCATTCTAAGGAACAGCTTTTGCAAGATGATGGTAAAAGGCTTTATGTTACCAATTGGGTTTTCCTCTGTGACACTGCACCTACTGCTTTCCTCACTTAGAATGCACATTGCTGTACTGGCTTTTCATCAACTTCAAATTCCCATGTGAAACAGATTCACCTTTCCCAGGTGACTTACACACTCTGGTCTGCTCCTGCTCAGACTCTTCATGGGCCCCAAAGGGTGATAAAGCCTCTGGGTTTTAATTTTTTACTACTGATCTCTGTAACATCTTGTGCTAAGACTAAAATAGGTACTGAATAGAAGTTTCCTTCTCCAAGTAAAAACACTCAAATCCTGGCAGTGGTTCACAGGGTCCTACCTGCCCTGCCCCTGTTAGCTCTCACACCTCTCTCATTTACTCCAGACACCTTCTCACTTCTCAAACATTCCAGGCTCACTTGGGTATTCTCATAAGGAATCCTCTGGAATTACCCTGCCTGGAATTCTCTTCCCAATATAGCCACGTGGCTGGTCCCACACAGCCCATTTTCTGAAAACAAGCTGTGAGACTGGTGGTAGACTCATTTCCAGTACACTCATTTCTGAAGGTGTAACTAAGTGTGACTTGTTCTCTAACCACTAGGGAGAACCATGTCTTAGCAAGTATATCACATTTACAGAGAACTCCTCCTTGGCCTCCTACAGGTCTCAGCACTGTTTCCCACTCCTTTTAATTTTTTCTTCTTAGTTATTTTCATCTAACATGCAACATTTTACTTTTTATTGTCTTTCCTCAACATGGGAACGCTGGAAAACCTGGAGAAAATTCCATTCGTGGGATTTTAAGAAAGTATAACCTTGCATCAAAATTTTCTATGACCAGAATCCCCTAAGTGAAGTCTGAAGGCCCTAACATAACAAGTTGATGCAACTCAGTTACTGGGCAGGAATGTGTATTCAGGTATAATCGTTACCATGACTGAATGATAAAGGCATAATTGGTATGACCACCATTTTGCACAATCCAGGAAGGGTTATTCATTTCTATTCTATGTGAGTGGTACCCCCATGTACTTGCATCATGTGGTGGCCATGATAATTAGTGATGCAAATGAAATAATGACTGGATTATTAGCTCTAGTATATCTAGCCTGTGGCTGTCTCTTGGCCCCCTCAGTAAGAACCTTGACTGCCCCCAGCTAGCCCATATATCAGGGTGCCCTCTCCCAAGGCAGCCTCATGGACTAGGACATGGACTCTGGTCTTTGCCCTTCCCACAGCTAGTATTCCCTGGGGACATAAAGCCTTCTGAAACACCCCCCATTCCCCACTCCCCCTTCCCATAGCTGCAAGCTGTGCTCTTCTTGAAAAGGAGAGAACTTATCTTCCCACCTCATGTTCTAAACTCTCCTCTTCTTCCCCATTGGGTCTGGGATGGAAGAAGGCACCAGTGAGTGACTATGGTGTTTCTCATCACTGTTAAGCCTTTTTTCTCTGAGTTATAGGAAACGAACCCACTCCTAGTTTCACCCTCAGAATTAGAAGATCAGTCTTTAACCAGACCCACAACTTGCTTTCAGAAAACAAACCAGGGATGGGAGAAGAACTGAAAACCACTGAATAAAACTTCTACTACACAGAACTTTTTTTTTTTTAATTTCAACTAACATTCCAAAAATATGAATACTTCATTTCATCTTCACACATTTTCCCAAACTGAGAGGTTTCTCAAATGAAAACAAGTTTCTTTCCTCATTTTCATACTAGTTTGTTCCCTTGGTTTGACAAATAGTATTTCCAAATATAAACAACATTCACAGGCTACAGAAGTCAAAGGAATGTGAAGTATGAGAGAAACACTGGGGCCTCAAGGTTTACACCTGAGAAAACTCTGTGTCTCAAATAAGTGTTATTCAAACATAGAGTTCTAACACATATTTTAAAATTTTACAATCCAGCCACCCATGAGAGCAGAACCACCACCTCACTGAAGACTTCTACAAATTCAAGCAACTGGGACTGACTGACAACCATATTCTTCCTTTTTTACTTTCCAAATTTTCCTTTAAAAAAATATTTAATTGTGCCAAAATTCACATAATAAAATGTACCATTTTAATCTTTTAAAAGTGTACACTTCTGGGGCTTCCCTTGCTGTCCAGTAGTTACATGATTCCATGCTCCCAATGCATGGTTTGAACCCTGGTCAGGGAACTAAGATTCCACATGCCACATGATGTGGCCAAAAAAAAAAGTGTACAGTTCTGGGGCATTAAGGTAGATGCTGTTATACCACTCCTAATTTTATTGTTATTAAAGTTGGAATACTTCATCACTTACATATATGTTCCATGTCTTTACTCCATATATCTTACACTATTTACCTCAATTCCAGGTGAACCAAGAACATAAAAGTAAGGAACACTACTAACAGAAGAAACAATAGAAAAATATGATCTCAAAATAGGAAAGGATTTAAGACATACATATATACACAATGTGCAAAATATAAACAGATTGATAAATTAATTATATTGATTTTTTATCCCCAAAAGATACACCAAATAAAAAGGCAAGATACATACTAGAAAAGATTCAAAATACATGTAATAGATAAAGACAGAATATAGGAAAAAAAGAATTAAAAACAAAAGAATAAACTCCCTACAATCAATAAGAAAAATAAAAAACAGAAGTAAAAAACTGGGCAAGGTGTATAGCAGGCAAGTTTCATATGAGAATACAAATAAATGGCAAATAAGTGTATGTGAAGACATTCAACCTCAAGGTACTAGGGAAACAAAAAGCACAGTGAAATACAATTTTAACATATACCAGGTTGACAGAAACATGAAAGTCTAACATTACTAAGTGTTGATGAGACTATGAGACCTAGGCAATTCTCACCCTCTCGGGTGGTGAGGGAAACAGTAGTAAGAGAAAACAGTGCAACCATTTTGGAGGACAACTTGACAATACCCAGGAGAGCAGAAAATGCACACACACCCCCATCTCACCCACAGTTCCCAGTCCTGGGGACTCACCTCCCACACATGCACAGGGAGACATGTACAAGAAGGTTCACTGAAACATTGTCTGTAATCATGAAAAATTACTATACCCTAAATGTCCATCAACAGGAGGCCAAAGAAAAACTCTTATAGTCCAATGGTATACTGTAGTAGCAGTTAAAATGGTTAATTATCTGTAGCATTACAGATTACTCTTAAAAAATGGTTAATAAAGTGAGTTGCAAATTATAGCAAAAACATGCAAAGACACTTCATATAGTGTGTGTGAATACATCTATATGTGTATGTACCTGCCTCATGGTTGATCCTGGGGAAGAAGAGAGCAGAATGATACTAGAAAGAGAAAGGCCATCAATTATATCTTCAGTGCTTTATTTCTTAAGCTTGGTAGTGGGTACTTTTTATATTTTTCTACATTTTATTAAACATAAAAACATTAAAAATTGTGAGAAATTGTTTCCGTGACAAAAGATTTATAATTTTTAAAATAGGAGAGTAACTTTTTGATAGCATCAGGAGAGAGAGTAAGTAGAAAGAGGGGAAGGTGTTATTTCTGCTCAGCGGTTTGGATCTGTGATGACCTACTGTTTTCAGAGCTGGAGATGACCACTTGACAGTTCCCTCTGTAATCAATAAATATTACTAGGTAAGCCATGGGCTTACTACTCACTCTGTATTGTTTTGGCCATCTCTCTCTTTTCTCGGATGAGCTGCTTACGCCTCTCCCGGCATTCTTTGTTAAGTTTTTGCTGCTTGGAATTTTCCTCATGGAGCTGGACAATTCGTTCTTGCAATCGTCCCAAGGAGTGGTTGGAAAAGACTAAAGTTCCAGAAAGATCACTCGGTAGTTCTCCAAATAGCACATACTCTATCTACAAAAGCATGACAAAACTGGTATCAAAATAGACAAAAACCAAAGTAAATATAAAGTCATAGAAAGGGGTGTGCTTCTTTTTCTGTCCCTTGTTAGGTCATGACCTTTGGTCTCCTAACTCTCACCACTGAGGAAGGTAAAAGCAGGAAGCTGCTTTCAAAAAGAAGTCACATTACATCCCTCTGGGACAGCAAATCTTTCCAAAATGACCATGCTGGATATCTACTGCCTAAGGATGGAACAGACATTTCAGGGCTGGAATATTTGGCAAACTGCTACAGTTAATCCAGTTTGGGTCAGGTTAAACAAGATAAATGTAAGGCTGATCCTCGGTTTTTCTTCTCAGATACAGCTCTGTCTCTTTACCTGACAAAATGCATTATAAGGGGCCTTTGCTGATATGATCTCTGCATTTTAATATAAGTTGTAATTCAAGTGGGATATAGAGATGGACAAAGAAAAGGGGGAAAAGTATTTTCCTTTTATCTTAACCTCCCTCATTAACAAGTAAAGAATAAGGGAAGATAATTCTTACACCATTAGTCCACATCTATTTAAAGAAGGTGTGAAAAGTGCCATGTGTCTAAAAGACAAGAAGATTTCAACCTCCAAGCCATTCCTTTAAGTCATAGGCTCCTCATTGCTTCAGACTTGAAGTTATTCAACTTTCAAAGTCATAACAACCACCAGGAAATATACGTGTTTTGATATTATGCTTTGATAACAATCTCAGAAAGGGTAAGAAACGGGGTGTCATTCTGCAGGTAGATGTCTCAGACAAGGACTGCCCTTCTCTCCACCAGTGTCCCATGAATCTTTCTCTGGAAAAGTCTGAGGGTGATGGCTTTTCTGCTTAGAGAGGGTGGGGCAACCTCCAGCCCCATCACCTGGTGGAGCTTCAACGGGATCACAACCAGCAGTTCATTCAGCCGCTGCTGCTTCTCACGTTGATAAGCCTCCAGGGCCTCCTCTGCTGCATTCAGATTAGTTGCCACAGTTTTTACCTGTAGAAAGCCCCAAGTGCGAGATGTTGACAAGATTTGGTGAATATATACCCAAGGTGATAAATGAAGCCATTTGGGGAAGAAGAAAAAATATGAGCTGGATCTGCCTTGTTGGGCTAGATTAAACAGATAATCCCAAACTGCCACCCAGAAGTGTGTATTATTCTCTTTCTGCTAAGTCATGATCTACACCACTTTTTCAATTGTCCCTATGACCCCAGAGTTGTAGAGATTTTGTGAATGAAAATGCAGAAGACGTGTTCCCATCTCCCTTTTATTTTCTGCTGGAAAATCATCTCTCAGCTAGTAGTGTCTCTGTAAGGATGGTTCAAATCTCACTTGGTCATAAGCATCTCAATAAATTAGCGAAGAAAGCCCTTTATGGTAATGAAATTACCAACTACAGTATTTCTAAAGTACATGCCTCATCTCCTAAAATACTTGAAAGTTTTCCAAATCATTTCCTTTCTGCAAGAGGAGAAGCAGCCTACCAAAAACATTTCTGAATATGAGACAAGTGATGCTGCTCTAGGAAAGAGTACCTAAGAGGGAAACTGAGTAGATATGGGAGAAAGAATCAATATAACTGTACCAGAAGTTTAGCTTAGTGGCCTCCCAAAGGGATGCATACCCCTCAGAATGTCAAAGTGATCTACTGGGGTCCAGAAAGAAAAGTGAGTTTCCATATCTATTTATTTTTATCTTATTCTTTTTATTTTCTGTTTTTGAAAATGTTTCATAATACATTAAATATAATTAATATAATAGTTTATGGATATAATTTCTAAATAAATATACATTTATTGTGGGAATATATGTTTCACAATTTTTTTTTTTACTTCCAGAAGTATGTAATCAAAAAAGTTTGCAGGCCAATGATTTAAAAAAAGTTCCAATCATCAAAGGGGCAATGGCCTTCAAAGACATCTGTAAAAGGATGCAACATGGGAAATGTCTCTCTTCTAACAATAAGTCCTAACTCATGCCATTGCTATGAAATGGCAGTATTATGGCCAGAAGGAGGTGTAGCATGTTGGGAAATGATAAACAGACCTGAAAAAGGCAGAAAAACATACTTTTTTTGACAATGTATCATGTTCCTTTTTGAGGTTATCAATCATTTTTTTTTCTTCAACTAAAGCCTCTTCAATGTCCAGCCTTTTCTCCCGAAGTTGAAGGGCCAGTTCAAAGAGACCCATATCACAATCTGAAAAGACAGACAAAACAAAAAAGCAGCTCCATTCATTATAGAATATAGTTATAAGTGTGGACTTTGGGGCTTCAGAATTATTAATGTCCATCTACTCCAGTAAAGTTTCATTACACTCAGGGCTCCAGGTAGAAATTATTAATGGTATTAATAATCATGATAGAGACTTCCCTGCCAGTTCAGTGGCTAAGACTCTGAGCTCCCAATTCATGGGGCTTGGGTTCAATCCCTGGTCAGGGAACTAGATCTTGCGTGCCGAAACAAAGATCAAAGACCTCAGTGCTGCAACTGAGACCCAGAGTAGCTAATATTTAAAAAAAAAATCATGGTAGTGGCTATGATGTTAGTACTGATGTTCTGAACAATGCTCTGAGCCAGGCTTTGTGATGGGTGCTTTATATACCTTAGCTCATTCAAGCCCCACAGGCCCTGCAAGGTCAAAACTATTGTTCCCATTTTACAGGTGATGATCATTAAGTCTAAGAGACGTCACATAGCTGAAATGTGATAGAACAAGATTCAAGTACAGTATCTGTATATTAATTTTCACCCTACCACACTAACAGCCACATTTATCCACGGAGTCATCAATAAAGAATGTGGAAATATAATAGATCACTACAATGGAATCTAGTAATCTTAGTTCCAGCCCTAGTGCTACCACTAACCTAGCCATGAGATTTTGTTTAAGCAGCTTAATCCTGCATTACAATATTTTCTAGCTCTCTTTCACTCACAAATATGATTTTAGAATTATTTTCAAAATCAAAACATGATTTCAACTTTATTTGAAATTAAAATTTGATTTATAATTTATTGAAATATCTAGGAAAATAATTTCAGATCAAGAAGAAATAGTTTTTTCCTATGAATCATTCCTCTGTTGAGACTGTAAAAATATTGGTCTGGACTATAAGAATCTTAAGGCTTCCCTGATAGCTCAGTTGGTAAAGAATTTGCCTGCAATGCAGAAGATCCTGGTTCAATTCCTTGGTCGGGAAGATCCCCAGAGAAGGGATAGGCTACCTACTCCAGTATTCTTGGTCTTTCTTTGTGGCTCAGCTGATAAAGAATCCACCTGCAATGCAGGAGACCTGGGTTTGATCCCTGGGTTGGGAAGATCCCCTGGAGAAGGGAAAGGCTACCCACTCCAGTATTCAGGCCTGTAGAACTCCATGGACTGTATAGTCCATGGGGATGCAAAGAGTTGGACATGACTGAGTGACTTTCACTCACATAAGAATCTTAAGACTCCAAGAATATTTTAGACTGGTTTCACCAGTGAAAACAGTGAATATAAATTGCCAAGAATCTCCAGGAGACATAAAAATTTCCCTTAAAGAAATAAGATAATTTAATGGTTTGGAAAAAAGGGAGAATTTTATAAAAATACACATGTGTATTTTTACATACACACATGTACATACACATACATAAATTTTCTGTTTCTTGGTAAAATGAAACTATCTGCATAATTTATGACTGAATCAACTATAGATTGTCTGCAGATTATTTAATTTGGTACTCATAAACAGCAGCCTCAAGAAATAGGAAGTAAATTGTCTAGAGAGTGCCCAAAAGTATTCATTAGACTATACTTCATGTTTATTATACATGATATAATAGGATATATATATATATATCCTTTCCTTAAATATTATGAGACAATTGAGAAACCAAAAAAGAGGATCTTTTTGGTATTATCATACATAGTCAAACATCACAAAGAATGCACAGTTTTATCCAACTTACTTGTTGGGCAGATAGAATCATCAAAAACCTCATCTTCAGATCCAGACTCATCCTCATCACTCTCCAAGCTGGATTCTTCTTCACTTGATTCTTCACTTTCCTCCTCTTCATCTAAGGAGAGAGAAAAACACTGTTAATATGCAGAGAAGTTCCTGTGTTAAGATAAATCCCAGATTTTAAAAATAAATCATTTTCAATGAGTTAGTTACTAGGAAAACAAGGGGTAAATAAGGAAATTACTCAATATTTTTAGAAGAATTTAAGATAGTTAAGGACAGAGGGACTGCAAACTCAAATGCCCGCAGAAGGTTATGCAATTAATTTCAGTGCATCGAGTCAGAGAGGGGTGAGACCAAGCTGCCAAGCTGCTTGTGCTGTGACCTGCCTAACGCACCCTTGGTTATACAGCATAGTGCCCTGAAAACAGAGAGGATTTTCATAACTTCTCTGAACTAAGTAACACTAGTTATAATCTTAACTTAACCTACTTTTGTGAATATTCATGTCTTACTGTGGAAGTATTAATTTAAATGTTTGATTTCGAGATTCTGCACCAAACCCTGTTGGGGTTGTTAGTTGACAAAGACTCTCCTTTAACCAAACTTGAGTCAGGCTCCTCTGAGTCCTCTGTCTGGTCCTTGACCCATGCGCTGTCCTTGGCCCAATTAGTCGAGTTTTAGCAAGAGTCCTGTTGAGTCAATTTAGTAAAATTCACTACCCTTAATATCTGGTTAAATTCCTTTTTCCTTAGCCTTAATATCATATCACTCTGGCCTGCCTTCAACAAAAATCCTGTTATGTTAGTTTAGCAAAGAATTACCTTACCTCTCAATAATTTTCCATCAACTAACCCCAATCTTACTCCTTGGCTGTAAGTCTCCATTTGCCTTGTATTCAGAGTTGAGCTGATCTCTCTCTTACTATAAAATCCCATGATAGCGGTCCCCTGAATAAAGTCTGCCTTATTGTTCTTTAATAAGTGTCATGAATGATTATTTCTTTAACAATATCATATCATGTTTAACATGTTTTATAAAATATAAATTTTTTGAATACTAAAATATATCTGTTCCCAAGAATTTTAGATAAGGATTGTATGCCTCTTCCACTCAACTCTACTCCATTTTCTTTTAAAACACTTTGAGTCCATGTATGAACAATTAACGGTTTCTATTTTATGGAACATCAAAATATATGAAGTTAAGAAGTGGACCTCATACTCACTAGGAAACTTCTTAAATTAAGATGTCTCTTAAAATTACTGTTAGTGATCTGTACCAGCTTATGAAATAAATCAACAATGTTTATAAATAGGCTTTAAAATTCTTACACAGATGTCTGCTTTCAGGAAGATGAAGTAGATCTACTTCCCCTATTCCTCCCACTAAATACAGCTAAAACCCCTGGACATTAAATATAAAATGAACACAAGATAACTCTGAGAAGTGGAAAGGAGGAGACAGATCTACTATGCACTTCGAATCCCGAGGAACAACACTGTGGTGATTTCCTTGGATTTTCTTTTTGCCATATATATCTCTGAGGTGAAGAAGACTAAGTCAGTCTAACCTGAAACACCAACAGGTAGAGACACAGAAAGGCCCAATCAGAACTTGCTCTCTCTAGCCAAATGACCAGGAAAGAGGCAGATTAGCTACACAGAAAACTTGAAGAAAGACCACACAAAAATACTGTGATCCACCAGCCCAGGTTGGATGCATGAGACAAGTGCTCAGGGTTGGTGCACTGGGAAGACCCAGAGGGATCAGGGGGAGAGGGTGGTGAGAGGGGGGATCAGGATGGGGAATACATGTAAATCCATGGCTGATTCATGTCAGTGTATGGCAAAAACCACTACAATATTATAATTAGCCTCCAACTAATAAAAATAAATGGAAAAAAAATACTGTGATCCCACTCACACCCATGTTGGCAAAGGCCTAATGGAGCCTAGACAAGCCAAAACAATTCACACAAAACAGTACAATGTACATTATTTGCAAGTGCTCACAGAATATACCCTTGCCAAGCTGTAATGAGGACCCCACCATTCCAGCTAGGATGGTGTCAGAAAAGGTCAAGTAAGGAGTCAAGATATTTATTCTTTCTGAGGGTAACCAGTCCTGTTACCCACCAACCACCAAGATGTCTGTGGCAATCACAGTCTGGACCTGCATTCTCAGATGGCAGTAATAAGGTTCTCTTCATCCTTCCTGAAGAGGTGGTGTCAGAAGAGACCTGGTGGGGAGTCAGGACTTCTACCATTGCCCAGAGGTGCCAAGGCCTTCCCCACCATGTTGTCAGTAGAGACTCTGTGAGGAGCTAGACCTCCCATCTGCACACGGAAGTAACAAGGAGATCTCCCTTCCCTTTGGTGACAATAAAATGTGAGTACCTCCATGTGGCAATAAGGAGGAGGCACCCATTCCTTCCTCAGACAGAACAGTGTTAGAGAAAGCCAAGTAAACCAGAAGATTTAAATAAGATACAGAGTCTAATACATAATATGAAAGTGTCTAGGTTTTAGCTGAAAGTCATACCAAGAACCAGACAGATCTCTAACTGAATGAAAAAAGACAATCAATAAATGTTAACACCAAGATGACAGAAACAGAATTATCTGACAAAGTATTTTAAACAAGAAGGATAAAAATGCTTCAGTGAGCAATTATGAACACACTTGAAGCAATGAAAAAACAGAATGCCTGAAAGATATAAAGTCTCAGACTTTTTATTTATTTATATAAGGAAAAAGTAAATGGAAATTTTAGAAGTGAAAAATACAATGATAAAAACTAAGGGATGGGGTCAACAGTAGAATAGAAGGGAAGAAAAATAAATCCATGAACTTGAAGGTAGAAAAATAGGAATTAGTCAATCTGAACCATAAAAGGAAAACAAACTGAAACGAACAAAACCCAAACACCAGAGCCTCAGGGGCCAATGGGATCATAATGAAAAGTTTAACAGTCATGCCATCAGAGTGCCATGAAGGAGTCAGGAAAGAGGAGGTCTTTAAATGGACTTGAAGAAATAATGACTGAAAACTTCCCAAATTGGGCAAAGTACATAAACCTACAGATTAAAGAACTTGAATGTATTCCAAAGAGGATAATTCCAAAATCAACACTAAATCACATAACAGTCAAACTTCTGAAAACTAAAGAACACTGAAGGCAAAGAAAGAAAAGTGATACTTCACCTACAGAGGATAAGCAATTTGAATATCAGAGGGCTTCTCACCAGAAACCATGGTGACCAGAAGGAAGAGGCACAGTATTTTTCAAATGTTAAAAGAAATATCAATCTAGAATACTACATCCAATGAAAATGCCTTTCAGAAAAAGAGGGGAAATCAAGACATACTTAGATTATGGGAAAAAATTTTTTAATTGCCACCAGTATACCCTCCCTAAAAGAACGGATAAAGGAAATTCTTTAAACAGAGGGAATTTTTTCTTTTTAAAAAACGAAATATTGAATAAAAATATGGATAAAGCCTATATGGTTAGGCTTTCCCCCAAGTGTTTAAATTGTGTTTAATAATTGAAGCAAAAATTATAACATTGTCTGATATGGTTCCAGATGTATGCAGAGGAAATATTTAAGACAATCAAATGATAAATGAGGAAGAAATTGGGATATAAAGGTAGGTAAGGATTCTATACATGACTTAAATTGGTAAAATAATGACACTGGTGGAGTGGGATAAATTATATATAATATAGAGAGCAACCACTTAAAAAGTTATACAAAGAGATACATTCAAAAGTGCTCAGTTCAGCTCAGTTGCTCAGTTGTGTCTGACTCTTTGTGACCCCATGGACTGCAGCACAACAGACCTCCCTGTCCATCACCAACTCCTGGAGTTTACTCAAGCTCATGTCCATTGAGTCGGTGATGCCATCCAACCATCTAATCCTCTGTCGTCCCCTTCTCCTCCCACCTTCAATACTTCCCAGCATCAGAGTCTTTTCAAAAGAGTCAGTTCCTTGCATCAAGTGGCCAAAGTATTGGAGTTTCAGCTTCAGCATCAGTCGTTCCAATGAATATTCAGGACTGATTTCCTTTAGGATGGACTGGTTGGGTCTCCTTGCTGTTCAAGGGACTCTCAAGAGTCTTCTCCAACACCACAGTTCAAAAGCATCAATTCTTTGGCACTCAGCTTTCTTTATAAGTCCAACTCTCATGTCTATACATGACTACTGTAAAAAGTGCTAGAGGAAATTAAAATGGAATCCTAAAAAATGTTCGACTGACCCACAGGAAGACAGGAAAAAGAAAAGAGACAAAACAGATAAAAAATAAAATAGCGGACTTAAACCCGAATAGATAAAATGTAAGTGATTCAATACACCAATTAAAAGACAGAGTGGATGAAAAACATTATTCAGCCATATGCTACCAGAAATTCACTTCTAATGCAACTATATAGTCAAGCCGAAATTAAAAGGAGGGAAAAATATATCATACAACTATTAATAAAAGCAAAGCAGGAATGACTAATAATAATATAGTATAAAATGGACTTCAGAGCAAGGAAAATTACCTAACACAGAGAAAGACATTAAATAATGATAAATACGCCAATCTACCAAGAAAACATAGAAATCTTAACAGTGAATGCATAAAACAACAGAAATATGGGAAGTAAAAACTGATAAAAATGAGAGGAGAAATAGATAAATCCATTAATGAATTTGGAGACCTCCATACCCCAACTCAACATTTGATGCAACAACCATACAGAAAATCAACCATCAATCAACAGAATCTAACTGACAGTAATAGAACATGTCACACAAAACAGTACAACATATCATACATTCTTTGCAAATGCTCACAGAACATACATCAAGATAGATATGTCAGACCGTAAAACAAATCTCAACAACTAAAAAAGAATTGAAATCACACAAAATGTGTTCTCTGACCACAATCGAATCAACTAGAAATCAATAACAGAAAGATAACAGGAAAATCTCAAAACACTTGGACCTAAACAACACACTTCTATATAATCCATGGAATCCAAAAGTAACAATGTAAATTTTAAAACTACACTGTCCAGAATGTAAATGAAAATGAACTTCAAGTTTTGTAGAATACAATTAAAGCAGTGCTGAGAGAGAAATTTATAGTACTAAATTAGAAAAGAGAATAAATTCTCAAGTCAGTGATTTAAGCTCACACCTGAAAACCTAAAAAACAGGAGTACAAAATAAACCCAAAGCAAGCAGAAGGAAGGTAAAGAAGTAAAGATAAGAACAGAAAGCAATAAAATTGACAGCAGAAAACAGAGAAAATCACTTATACAAAGAGCTGACTTGTTCTCAAAAAAATCAGTTGAATTGACAAACCTCTAGTAAAACAGCAAAAAAAAAAAAAAAGGAATATAAGAAACAAGGTACCAATATCGAGAATGCAACAGACACTATTACTAAAGACCCTGCAGGTATTAAAAGGATAGCAAGGAAATACAATGAGCATCTCTATGCACATAAATTGGCAATTTAAATGAAACAGACCAATTCCACAAAAAATACAAATTACCACAACCCACCCAATATAAAGGAGATAATGTGAATAGTTCTGTAACTATTAAAAACTTTGAAATTCTAATTTTAAAACTACCTTGAAGAAATCTCTTGGCCCAAATAGTTTCACTGGAGAACTCTACCAAACATTTAAAGAATTGCCATAAATTCTATACAGTATCTTCCAGAAAAATCAGAAAGGGGAGTTGTTTAGTCACTAAGTCATGCCCAACCCTTTGTGACCAATGGACTATAGCCTGCCAGGCTCCTCTGTCTATGGAATTCTCCAATTAAGAATACTGGAGTGGGTTGCCATTTCCTTCACCAAAAAAGGGGAGACGACTTCCCAATTCATATTTTGAAGCTAGTATTCTCCTGATACTCAAAACCAAATATAGCATAAAGACAGTACAGTGATCCTCATGAATATAGACATAAAATTTTTAAATCTATATTTTATTGAAGGATAATTGCTTTATAGATTTTGTTGTTTTCTACCAAACCGCCACATGAATCAGCAATAGATATACATATATCCGCTCCCTTTTGAAACTCCCTCCCATTTCCCTCCCCATCCCACCCCTCTAGATTGATACAGAGCCCCTGTTTGAGTTTCCTGAGTCATACAGCAAATTCCTGTTGGTTATCAATTTTACATATGGTAATGTAAGTTTCTGCCGTGAGCCGTTATGGGGGGGTCCCGCCCGTGATGAGGTCATGAAGAAAATACAGGGCAGGCAAGGCCATCCGGGACCCCATCCATGACGAGGTCACGAGGGAAAAAACCTGACAGGCAAGGCCGTCTAGGATAAGGGACCCTCCAGGTTGGCCTCGGCCTCTACCCCACCCTGTATCCTCCTCCCTTTTCTGCTGTTGTTCTTGCTTGCCCTGCTGCAGATTCTTGTGTTGCCTGCCGAGAGCTCTCCTGCTCCTCTTTCACTGAATGAAGACCAACTTAAAACCCTAATTAATAAATCTCCTGGACGCTGGTACCCTACAAAGGGGCCAGGGATGAAGGAAATGCTTCCATTCAAATATTTTGCTGGCATTCTGGCTTGTTTAATAAATGTGTGATCTCATTGCACAAACTGCTCTTGATTGTTCTAAACATCCTAAACACAGTACGCTAACAAAATAAACTATTAAGCATAGGCCCCTCCGCGGGGTGAGAAAAGCTCCACAAATATGATAGCCACAAATGTGCCTAATAGAAAATACTTTAGATAGAGATTAGCTGGTGACTTCTTGCAGGTAGTTAACTTTTAGACTAAGAGCCTGTTTTGTGCCATATCTGCTGTTTTTGCAGTCCTTCGCATTTCTGTTCTGTAAAAATGTAATCCTATCTAGTTCCCATAGAGATGACACTTATTAGAAAGAAAATAGATTAATTATAAGAAAAACAGGGTCGGCTACTGAAGTTGCTTAAGTCACACCAGGTGCAAGCCATAAAATGTTAGCAAGCCTGAAGGCCAAATGATAAGAAAGACTCTTGTAAGTGAAAAAGTATGTGGGTGACATCCTGTTTCTGTTGAAGGTTAGGTTGCTGTAATGTTTTGAGATGCCCTGTGTGTAAGCAATATGCACTTCCCCCCCCAAAAGATGTTGTTAAGGGTATAAAGGAGCCATGCAAAAATAAACTTCAGACTTAGCCCCGAGCTTTGTCTCACTCTCTCTCTCATTCGCCGACGTCGTTCATCCTGAGGGTTCCCCTGGATCCTGCTGGGGCTGGACCCCGGCAAGTTTCCATGTTACTCTTTCCATACATCTCACCCTCTCCTCCCCTCTCCCCATGTCCATAAGTCTGTTTCTCCACTGTTGCCCTGTAAATAAATTCTTCAGTACCATTTTTCTAGATTCCATATATGTGTATTAGAGTATGTATCTTTCTCTTTCTGACTCACTTCACTCTGTACAATAGGTTCTAGGTTCATCCACCTCATCAGAAGGGACTCAAATGTGTTCCTTTTTGTGGCTGAGTAATATTCCATTACGTATATGTACCATAACTTCTTTATCCATTCATCTGTCGATGGACATCTAGGTTGCTTCCATGTTCTAGTATTGTAAATAGTGCTGCAATGAGCAGTGGAATACATGTGCCTTTTTCAATTTTGGTTTCCTTAGAGTATATGCCTAGGAGTGGGATTGCTGGGTCATATGGTGGTTTTATTCCTAGTTTTTAAGGAATCTCCATACCGTCTTCCATAGTGGCTGTATCAATTTACATTCCCAACAGCTCAAGAGTGGTCCCTTTTCTCCAGCATTTACCATTTGTAGACTTTTTGATGATGGCCATTTTGACTGATGTGAGGTGATATCTCATTGTAGTTTTGATTTGCATTTCCCTAATAATGAGCAATGTTGAGCATCTTTTCATGTGTTTGTTAGTGATCTATATGTCTTCTTTGGAGAAATGTCTGTTTAGGTATTTTTCCCACTTTTTGATCGGGTTGTTTGCTTTTCTGGCATTGAGTTATATGAGCTGCTTGTATATTTTGAAAGTTAATTCTTTGTCAGTTGTTTCATTTACTATTATTTTCTCCCATTCTGAGGATTTTCTTTTCACTCTGAGTATAGTTTCATTTGCTGTGCCAAAGCTTTTAAGTTTAATCAGGTCCCACTTGTTTACTTTTGTTTTTATTTCCATTACTCTAGAATGTGGGTCATAGATTTGATTTATGTCATCGAGTGTCTGCCTATGCTTTCCTCTAAGAGTTTTATAGTTTCTGGTCTTACATTTAGGTCTTCAATCCATTTTGAGTTTATCTTTGTACATGGCATTAGGAAGTGTTCTAATTTCATTGTTTTACATGTAGCTGTCCAGTTTTCCCAGCACCATTTATTGAAGAGGCTGTCTTTGCCCCATTGTATATTCTTTTCTCCTTCGTCAAAAATAAGGTGTGCAAGCATTTATTTCTGGGCTTTCTATCTTGTTCCATTGTCTATACTTCTGTTTTTCTGCTAGTACCATACTGTCTTTTGTAACACTTTCTAACACCATACACAAAAATAAACTCAAAATGGATTAAAGATCTAAATGTAAGACCAGAAACTATAAAACTCCTAGAGGAGAACATAGGCCTAAGACATTTTTAAGCACAGAACCTCTATTAAACCAAGTACTTTTAAGTGATTTACTTCATAGTACTTCTTAATTTAAGCTTCCTTTCTAAAGGAGAGTCATATTTCTGATTTCATATCCTTCTCAAGGAGAGGGATTATATTATTCTGTGTATTTCCCACTGAATGTTTTTGGTAAGGTCAAGTGAAACACTTAGAATTTTTAAAATATATGTATTTGAAATTTTTCATTGCATATGCATGAGGTATTTTGAAGGAAATCAAAACATGTATGAAAGGAATATGCTTTTTAAAAAAGTATTTGAAAATAAATGACCTTGAGGATTTCTTTTGCTGTATTTTTGTTAGTAACACATGAATATCAATAATTCCTATTTAGAAGTGGAATGTGATGATATTAACATTTTGCATACATGGGATTGGGTTTCTTTTTCTCTTTATCCCTTTAACTGAAGTAAAAACAAATATAAATTTTTCCCTGGTTTATTTTTTTGTGAAAGTACTCTCCAGGCCTCCAAAACCCTTGATTTACTACTTATTGAGTCTTTTAAGGGAAATATACAATTTAAAGGGGCTAACCTTTCATTCCTTCTCCTACAGTTTGGAATAGAAACAGAGCCAATTCCAGAAGATATTGAAGATTCTAAAGCCTACAGGTATGGGGATTTTTGATCAATACCTACTAGGTCTGGGCTTTTGCAAAACACATCAACATTTTAACAAAGCTGGCCAAGCTGAATGAGTTTCCAAATTATTAGATACTAGTTTTCTTTTTGCTATTTCTATATTAAAGATATGTTATCTTTTTAAATTTCTATTTTCAGTATTGAGAATGCCAGAAGAAAAAGAGAACATGACAAGTTAATGAAAGAAGTAGAAGAAATCAAGGCTGGAAAGAGAGAACAGATCAAAGCTTTAAGAAATCAATTACAGAAACTACTACAGATGAATGAAGAATTACCCAAACATATGCAGTTTAAACGGACAGTAAGCCTCAAATAAATTTGATTTTAATTTTAACATATACTGTTTCTGAATCAAGACTGCTATTTGACCAACAAGTAGGAACACTTAAAGCCATCTTTAAATTTCCCTTACCTGGCTGGTCAGTGTTTTGGCAGCAGCTAAACTACTATAGAACTTGTCACACAAGTTGGTTTGGATGTAGATGAGTCTCTTTGTACAAAGTTTACTTTTGGATTTAGCTAATTCACATGCTTTTGGTAATAAGATAAATATAAATTTGAATCTGGTTATCAATCCTTATCATACCTAACCAAGTTATCTGTTGGATAGGCACATACTATATAATTTGATTCTCTCTGATTTCTTTTGTACAATTCACCATCTCTGTTGAAAAGATAAAAGCTGCTTCATCCACAAAGTTACTAAAAAATAACAGTATATTTGTAGCTATGGGAACAGTCACCAGATTAAGCTGATTTTTTATTAAATTTTTCTCTTGTGCTTTATTGACAACCCCTTCTGAGCCACCAGGTAAGCCCAAAAAAGCTTCTTGGTGTGACCCAAATGGGACAACCACTTTTATCTGTTAGTAATTATTTTTCCCCATTTTTTGTTATCTTAAATGCAATTACTATCAAGAGCCTAATCAAATAAAAGCTCAGAATTTATTTTCTTGACTATACCCATGGATTACCCAGTCCTATAATTCTAGAAGCACTTAGCCAATTTCATTAAAAAAAAAATTGGTGAAATCACATTGATAAACTCATATTGGTGAAAAGACCAACTTAATGGTTAAAAGATGTTTGTTATTATCCTAATAAAAGGGTTGACACTTGCAGAATATGGGTGACTTAATCCAAAATAAAGAACAACTGAGGCAAATTCTGTGGCTGATCATTTTATATACATCATTACTAGAAGCCCCAACACATCTGGAAAAAATAATTACTTGCAATTTAGTGTGAATGAGGGCCCTGTTATTTTTCCAGTAGTGAAGTAAAGAAACATGAGGTCCCTAAGTATCCTCATGGGGAAAATGACCCCTTTGGTGAAGAATATTCAAGCCAGACTTGGTTTTATCAGCAAGTCCCCAAAGACATTATGGCCTTTCCTAGGTGGGGTCACATGGGAGGGGAGGTTCAGCTGATGAACATGTGCCATGAACTTCTACCCTGTGCACAGCTAGTTGTGTAATAGTAGTTGCTTTGGGATAGAGAGAGTTCTTTTTTTTTTTTTTTTTAACTTGGTACACTCTGCAAATGTTCTATTGACATTCATTGCTTTTTATTATGGGACAAATCTTTCAATATGTAACTCTGTTTTCATCATTGTTAATTATTTCTGAGAACTTTTCTCCATATTTTGTGACAGTAAAATCAGTCTGTGGTTTCTAGAATGAGAGAGTTTATGATATTTAGGAGAGAGTTATGATGTTGGAATGGAGGAGTTATGCATGGAATGGAGGACAAACCTTAAATATCTATATTTATGTATGAAATAGGATTGCTAAAGTCCATTGATAAAAGTACCCTTTTGGTGAACAAGTCTACTTATCTGCAGGATTTTGATCTAGATTCCAAAATTCGTGCTGAGATTGGAAAGAAAACAGCTAATAAAATTCAACGAGTGGAAAAGGAATTGGCTTGGGAAAAGGAGAAACACCAGCTTGGCCTAAAGAAGCTACAGAATAGGTAAGATCCATGTTTCCTGCAAATCAAGATGTTTATGAACAGATATTTGAATAAAGTAGTTTCCAGTGGTTTTATGGAAGTGGTCAGATAGTCGGTCTCCTACAGTACCTACTAATTCCTAAAACTCAAGTAATCCTCTCGTCACTGTTGCTGTCTCCCTGAGCTCATTCCTTTCTCATTTACTGCAAATTTTTTTTTTAATTAGTTGGAGGCTAATTACTTTACATCATTACAGTAGTTTTTGTTATACATTGAAATGAATTAGCCATGGATTTACATGTATTCCCCATCCCAGTCCCCCCTCCCACCTCCCTCTCCACCC